GAAACTTCGTTTTTCTGGCCGTTAACTTCGGGTTAAACGTTATTTCTGATTAATATTTAAACAACTCCTCACTACTCCTTTTTTTTTTTTTTTTTTTTTTTTTCTGCTTTGGCAGATCAAAGAGCATCTGGCCGACTGGGAAGAGGGAAATTTGCTCAGTCCCAGCTCCCTGCACACATACATAAATACATACATACATACATACAGGTGTACCCCACTGTCTGCAAGCCCATCACAAAACCATCTCCGGACACCCAGTTTCCACCCTTCAGGCTCCCAGGATCGGGCAGAGCAGAACCATGCCCRCCCGGGGGCTGCCAGGCGCCACTGGTGCTGTCTTGGAAAACTTGGGGCATAGGAGCTTTCACATAYGGAGCTCATTTTATATCTCTCACATTAACTTCTATTTCTGTCTGTATATTAATTCTGTCTCAATATAATTAATATTGAACATAAACCTTTGTCTGACTCTGAAAATGAATAAGGAAAATTGAATGCTCCCTTCTTTTATTATTAATATTATTATTTATCTTCCAAAGGCATATTTCCTTTTGCCATCATGTTGCACTTGTACCTGAAGGAGCTGCTTAACCACCTATGTATTCATTGGATTTATTTGCACCTATAAAATCAGGTAGTAGTTTATCACCTTGTGTCGTCGTTGTTTTTACCGTGAAAATAAACACGGAGGTAAAACGCTGTTCTAAATGAAACTAACCTCTACTTGCCGGCAAAAACGCCATTTTCACATGCCACGAGGTGGCATCCCAGGCGCACCTCTTCCCCAGACTTCTTCACTTCTTCATAGCCTGGCTGCTCTTTGAAAGCTTTGTGATATAATCCCAAACGTGAACACCATTTGCTTAACTGTAATGTGCTATGCACGCCGGTTTGCCCAAGGAATTTATCCGTTGATTATCTGTATATACCGTTACTGGAGTGATGAAGAGCCACGCGGACCTCAGGCGCCACGCAAGGAGGACCTGTCGGCCCTGCACTCAAGATGGCTGTTGTGGCCATGGCAGCCAACGCGYACAACAAGGCCGAGTGTTCGTGAGCTGGAGGGGGAACAGGGAAAAGAAAAGTTCTCAGGAACAAAATCTCTTCCCTGGATGCAAGTCTTGTTTGGTTTTTGAGTTTTGTTGTTTGGTTTGGTTTGATTTTGACCTCATCCTCCTTCTCCTCGATACTTCTATCAAATGCAATTAAAAAAAAAAAAAAAAGTGGTAACTGTAAGTCTCTTTTTAGTAGGTCTGCTATATAGATTGCCTGGGACAATGAAATGAAACTAAAATAAATATCAAACCTCATTTAAAATCTTTCTATGGAGTTTGCTTGACAACTGTGTTTGGAAAATCTATTCTGAAATGGATTATAAGAGAGAGAACTTCATTTCAGATTAAAATAAAAAATATGATGGTAATGAAAGTAAAATGAAGATTTAATTGTTAAATACAGCTCTAGATAGTATTCTCCAAGGGCCATTTTCCAGCAAGTTCTTTAAAAGGAGCAGTTGCCGTATTTAATTAAGAAGTTCTCTGATCATGAAATTATGAAAGCTCTATTCCTTTTAAATGCCTGAACTTTTTCACTTACATGTTGAAAATCTGTTTTCTAGACCACTTTTATTACTGCCTTGGAGCATGTCAGCCACGACCTTCTGCGCTTCCATGCCTTGTCCCTCGTGTGCATTGTTGGTTAATCACATGTAAGCAGGCTGTATTGGCGATGCATTATGCTGCACCTGATCTCTGGCTAGGTCGCYGAAAAACAGAGCGGGGAGGTGTCTGCTTCGCCCTGGAGCAGGAAAGTTACAGCGAGCACAATTAAATACAGCGGCATGTGACGAGGYTGACGGGGTGCTGCGTGTGAGCCTGGGTAGTGGTGATCCAGGCGATGCCTCCGGGACAGCTCGGTGCTGCTCACMCACGAGCAGCATCCTCCTCTTACTCCCTCCCCTCGTGCTGCTGCAGTCACTCGTTCTGGAAACCAGGTATCTCCAAGTCTTTCGCACCTGCAGGACCAGAGACTGCAGCTATGGATGCAGCTGGGAGATAATCCCTACCCTCCAGAGACTGAGATCTAAAAAGGCAAGAGCAAGGACAAGAGAAACTAAATAACACTACCCCCACTTTACAGGTGGTCAGCTGAGAAGCTGACAGTCAATATTTCTGAGCTGTCTAAATCGAAGGAGCTTGACACCTATATATTTTTTTGTCAATCAGACAAATGAGAATGTATCCTCTGAGGTTTTGTTCTTGCAAGGGATTAAAAGCATGAATAACTTTATTCACATGAATAGTCCCACTGAAGTGAAATAGTTCCTTTCAATACAGCCACCTATGTCCTTACACCCTCTGCAGGATCAGTCCTTAAGTGAATGTTGCCTCTGAACCATACAACTGCTTTAAAAAAGGAACAGGGAACCCCATCCTTTGGCTGAAAAAGTCATGGACATCAGCAATAGCTTAAAAATGTCTCTCTTACATGTTCAGCTTTTCTTCTCTTAAAGGGTTATTCAGAGAAAATGCAAGGGCTTTATTTCCCTTTTTTGTCTCCAATTTCATCCACAGGCGAAGAAGTGCCCCACTGCAAAAGCTGGGCATATGGGGAAGCAGGCTTTACATATTTATATTGAATTATTACTTCTCCATTGTTTTGGCAGTGGCTACTGCGATCGGGCATCCTTGGGTTTTGACGGTCACATCAAAGGAGCTGCTCTGGCGTGAGAACCGGTCAAAGTGAGCCAGATAATTCATGGATTTATTACTGAGGTCGGTTCCCATGATTGTCAGTGGGCAGCAGGCACTGCTGTGTCGTAATCCTCATTCTCTCGGTAGAGCACATACTGCCTTAAAAAGGTTTAATGATCCAATAGTGATTTACTAATGGGAATCTTTCTTGTGGATTTACCAGGCCTTGAAGAAGGACAGGGCAGCACGTAAA